TTCTTCACTGTCCTTCTGTCCCCACTGCGCAGCCTGCTCTGAAACTTCCGAATGTTGTGTCTGTAGAAGCATATCCTGACATCTGTCCAGGAAATCTTCAGTTTCTCTTATGCCACGCAGGGTCAATACTTGTTTCTCCAGACCTTGAACCTTCTCTTCCAATATGGAGACCAGCTTGTGCTTTGTACTTTGTTCACCAGCTGCAAGCACCAGCCACAAACGAATCTGAACACTGATCCACTTGTTAGTAACATGAAATTCAAAAGAACTTCATGCCAAGAAAGCAGAGGAAAGACATTTTCAGGCTCTGCACCCCAAAACTTGTGACTGAAGAAAGAGAATTCTGATTGCTTGGGACTAGGTAAGCCATAAGAGTATTCTAATTATATCCAGTTTAGAGGTAGCTAAGAACATTATGAGGCTGTGCCAGGAAACAACTGTTCCCAGATTGCAAGCATGCATGAGCCATCATAAATGTCTTTTCCTTCATCTCCTCTGTTCTGTAGTCACCAGATAGCACAATCCTTCAGGAGCAGAGAAGATTAGGAAATCTGTATTTATACCTTTTCCTTCTATCAAGTGAACCTCACTTGGTCAGGTAGACCAGTAGTTCTCAATCAGGGGTACTCATACCCCTGGCGTTAAGCAGCGATCTTCCAGGGGGTATGTCTGCTCATCTAGATACTTGCCTAGTTTTACAACAGGCTACATAAAAAGCACTAGTGAAGTCAGTACAAACTAAAATTTCATATAGACAATGACTTGTTTATACTGCTGTATGTACTATTTTATATGGTAATGTAACATGCATATACGCACTGTATTAGAGATGCATTTTATGTCATTTACTGATGCCTGCAAGCACGTTAATGAGGTTGAAGTTGTCATGGGGTTTATGCAGTTGTGATGTAAAAATGGATAGATTTGTAAAATGTGGAGCTGGAAGCGGCGGCAGTGAAAATTGTAAGAAATTGAAAATGACTGAAAAAAACCCCATTGTCAGTTCTGCAAGGAATGTATTGCTTTTGGATTCACATCTACAAATAGCAATCCATCTCAAGCTTCATTTCCTTTACAGAGAAACTCTATCAAATAACAGTTTGAAGCTGGCACATCTGCAACAACATTTGAAGACAAAACACCCTGTGCATGCGGGTAAGCCAATAAAATTTTTTCAAATAAAGCTTTCTGTGTTCCGGGCTTGCCAGCGTAACATGAAAAAAGCTTTTGTAAGCACTATACCATCTGCAAGTAGCGCAAATAGTTTTTAAGTAGATGAAACTTGGGGGACAAATCAAAAACCTGAAAGGGGTACAGTAGTCTGGAAAGGTTGAGAACTACTGAGGTAAACCAATCCAGATCATAAGGAATCGAGGTTGTTACTGATGCCTGATAGCCTAACGTGATATTTATTTTATTTATTTCAGTTTAATTAAAATTTTTAAAATATCTATCCAAGGCTCTATCCACCCTATTAATATTACATGACAAACCCATCAGGATTAAAACAATCATTCAGATAGGAACATGGCTAGCCAGAGAACTACAAAGTGTTTCTTCCCCCACCATCATTCCAGAATGCATATCCTCAGCCCTCTCGAAAAACTCTACTGAACATAACCCTTTGGCAGTGTGCTCAGAGAGTTACTAGAGTCAGGTTATGTTGCACCAGGCAGAGGGCCGGGGGGGAAGAACAAGTTCCAGTGTCTCAGAGCCTTCACAGACAATGGCCTGCCAGCTACCCCCTCTCTTCTATAATGAAGGGAAATCAGCTAGGGTTCCTGTACTGCCCACAGCTGTGGCAGTATGGCATGGGGAGCAAGGCCATCTTTCAGATGGCTTGGTTCCAGGCTATATAAGTCATAACACCTTAAACTCCATGTAGAGTATAACTTCACTGTAGGGGTAGTTTAGGCTCTTACTCAGATATTGCCCATAACCCCACTCCTGTCCACACTCACAAACATCTCCCTTGAGTTAAGTGGCACTTTCAACCCAGGCTAGCTGGCACAGGTGGGGGTGGCGCTTTGAGCCTGGGTTCCACTTTCACATGGGCTGCTAACCTCTCCACTGCACAGTGAGGATGCAGGATAAATCACTTGAGGGCCGATAGTTCTCCAAAGCCTTCCCACATTTCCCCACATGTGCCCAGAAATCCAAACAAGTTCTTCCACAATTCACTGCAAAAGAATCCTAGAATGGCTTGGCTTACCATAGCGCAGAATAGGATGTGCCCCCAGAAATCCTAGTGACGCTCATGGAGGAGCACAACGCTAATAAGGACACAATAATCTGGGCAGAGCATTGCAGTGTGGCTGCTCACACCCAGGCTAAGCTAACCCACGTGCGCAGACCAAGGTACTGATCACCCGGACTAACTGGGCAATTAAGATGTCCCACCCCCAACCCCCAAAAGGCCAAGAAACAGCCGCTGTAGAGCCTGGAGCACCAGTGGCATGTGCTGACAGCAAGATGCCCCACTCAATAAGCAAGCCACTGAGGTGTCGCACCATGTCGAGCACGTTTCTGTTATCTAACGGAGCACAATGCAGCACGGGAGCAGGCACCCAGCAGTCATGTAAGCAGGGGATCTGTTCTTCACAGACTAACTTACTTTTTCTGATAATATTGATTTGCCTTGTACTATTGGACAATTTTCAGAAAAGAACCCTTCTCTTTCTGGGAAACAGCACAAAACTGGTTTCTGCTTGACCCTCCAATGATTCCTTTTGAAATGTGCAAGATCAAACAGTCTATTAAACAATGACTAGGCCATCTCTCTCCTTGACTTTTATAGCCTCCTTTACTTCCCTGGTATCTTACCTTACACAAACATCTCTCTGGGCTATAGGACATGATATAGTTTAATTTATCTTCCTCCCCAACCATTGTCCACAGCTCCTCATTCAAAGCCTTGCCTCTAGTTCCCTCTGTGTTTTTCCACTGAATTTTTTCTACGTCCTCACGGTCAAGGCTCTTCACAGTTCCTCCTTGGCCTAAATCTCTGCTGTCATTTTAACCCGCTCCCTTGTGGATTAATAATCAGGTGTTTGCAGTCTAACTTTAGAAACACTAATTTAATTTAGAAACATCTGTCTTCTTTAAAATTTATTTCCTAGAATGGAGACTGCCCTTTAAATGGGTTGGTAGTAACCTGAATATGCTAGCATGTACCACTCTTTTCTTCTTGCATCTATCTGCAGCATTTTAATATTGCTGACTGTTAGCTTTTCTTAAATTGGTTAAACTTCCGCATTGCTGTATCTGGCATGGATGTCTTATGGCTTAAAGCTTGCCTTTGTTAATAAATGTAGACCCTTGTGCAAGGACCCCAGCAGTGATGCCAAATTGATTTGGGGGGGCCCTGAGCTGTTTAGTTTGGCCCATGATATGTTTTGCCTTTAGATACTTTCTGTGGCTGATTTTTCTTCTTGCCTCCACTGTGAAATATAGGGTGATAGGATCCAGATATTTTGTCAGTTGCCTGCAGATCTTGTGATACTTCTTGCTAGGTTGACATAAGCGTGTGTTAAAAATCACAACTCTGGCATGCATCCCTGTAATACTTACGTGATCCCTTTTCCTATAAATATTCATGTTTCATTGATGGTGAGATGTTCTCTCCTGTTTACATTTGTGCCAGTAGGCAACAAAGTTCTGCCCCAGTGTTGCCCCAGGTTTTTTTAAAATCTGCTTTATTGAATTTAAAAATATATTCTAACCACTGCATCTAATTACAAAGCAGACTAAATCATGTAACTAAGCATTAGTTTGTACTCTTTCATGTACCATGATATTAATGTAGTAAATAAAACTACTACAGGGTTTTGTTCACCGTTGTCTGAAACATCTGGTTCTGGCCACTATCAGAAGACCAAATATCAGACAAGATGAAACACATGTCCAATCTAATATTACATATCTTATGTTTCTATGCAAATATAATCAGTTTTGAACCTAAAGCCTAATTCTCTGCACTGATAGAGTGCCATCAATTTCAGTAGGGATGCTCCTGATTTACACCAGTGTAAGTGAAAAATTAATCAGGCCCAATAAGTTCAGAATGGGCCAGATCTTGGCCCAGGTCAGATCTCCTTTGTAGCACTCTGGTGGTACAAATCAAAGCAGCCATAAAGCCGACCAAATTGGGCAGCTGAGGAATCCCTGGGGAATCCCTCAGCTGATACGCCTGGGAATAGTGGGAGTGGCTGAAGTGCTGTGGCACGGTCTCCAGTCAGGATAACTCACTAGCCATCTATGATGCTAGGGGACAGACTGGGTCCCAGCATCCCCAGGGACCCAGAAAACAGAGACAGTAGCTCTCCTACCCCTCTAGTGCTGGTCTAAGCACAACCTGGCAAGACCCAAGAATATGAGCTATCAAGCCTACTTCTTTCACATTTCTTGTTAAGGGATCTGTCAAGGCTGATTCCCCACTCTGGCACTTCAAGTGCAGAACGTGGGGGCCCGCAAGGATTCTAAAATTTAATACTAGACTCTCCAGGCTTGTATTAAACTCCCAAGGTTACAGCTTCTCTCTGGATGGGTAGATGCTGTCACCACCCAAATGCAAAAATCCCCTTTTGGAACCCAGGAAGGCGCACTTGGGAATTCCTTTCTGTGGAGTTCCAAAGCCCTTTCACCCCGCTCCAGGGAGGAGCTGAGAAAGAAAACAAACAAAATTAACTGTTGCCCCCAGCTAATTAAACAGCATGTGCACAAACCTCTTAGGACACCAAAAATCCAATCCTGTTCTTTAAAAGGTAAATTTTATTAAAAACAAAAAGAAAGAAAATACATCTGGAACTTCAGCTTTTGCTAGATTTAAAAAAAATACTTACAAAAATTAAACATCAAGAATAACCTTCTTGAGATCCAGCTTAAAGGTTACAAGCAAAACAAAAAGCATTTGGGGTTAGCTCAGAGGAGTTCACAAGCCAATAAGAAATAAACAGAAATAAACCTAATCGTGTCTTTCTAAACTTTCCTGATCTACTTACATATCCGGGTTGTTAAATAAGTAGTTCTAGATATGATGTGATGATTTTCATATCTAGCCTTCAGCTTCTCACAGCATAACTGCTTCTGTGCCCCTCTTTCCTGGAGAACAACAACAGCACACAAAGGGAAAGCTTTTTTTCCAATTTTAAAACGTTCTAGCCTTCCCATTGGCTCATTTGGTCAGGTGCCCACTCCCTTCCTTTTACCTGGACTTTTAAAACCCTTTACAGGTAAAGTAAGTAGAGAACAATTACCAAGAGGGACTTTATAGCTAACTGGCTGGCTGGGTGTCCCTAAAAGGGTGGTACCCTCCCCCTTCATTTATCACAGGATGTCTAAATGGATTTGGCTTGACTGAAAAGAAGTAGTTTTTACTCCATAGTTGCATAAGAAATTTCCCTCCACCAGCTGTCCTATCACCATAATTTATCTTACCTTGAAGTAAATTTAGAAAGAAACAATAAAAGGCAAGGTATCTGACTGCATTTTTTTTATATCTGACCTGTTAAACCTCACCACTGGGACCCCCCCTTTTTCACCTGTGTGTGCGCCCTTTCTTTTCTGATGAGACTTTTTCTGGACAGCAAAAATGCTCATCAAGGAAGAAATTCATTGCTCATTGAAACAGATCCAAGTTGAATGAGCTGCAAGAACATGATCTGTTTTTGCAGCAAGTGATTTTCCCAGAGATTCAGAGTCCAGTTTTTTATTTTCCTTGGGGGAAGAGGAAAGGGGTTTTTGCAGACTTTTCAGGGAAAGTCTGGGAGATGTCAATATCCTAGACAAACCTTACTGAATTAAGTTTAAGTAGCTTAGTAATTCATTGAATTAAAACTTCAAATGTTTAGGTATTATTATGAGATTGTATGTAACGTCCCGGTGTGTGTGTGTGGGGAGTGATGACATGTAAATCCTGAGAAGTGTTCTGAACGTCAAAGAAGTATTTGAAACAATGGGCCAGACAAAAATGAATTTTTGAAGTTAAGTGGGTTTCCCAGGAAATCCCTAAGGGAAGGGGTATGCAGACACAGCCTGTTGAATCTTTGCCCTGAGGAGGGGACCTTTGTCTGCTGATCACCTGCCACATGGGAACAAGATCAGAGGCCCACACTGCATAAAGGAGTGACTTTCAGGTTCATGGGTGTCCTTGTTCTGAGCCTAGGCGATTATGAATCGGTTACCACAGAAGAACCCCTGCATGGGATTTGAAAGACTGACTCCTACCAGATTGCTTGTTGGAGTTAGAGTGGTCTCTGGTAAGCTTAATAGCATGCATGTAGATTCTTTTTAACGTGTTTTCTCTGCAATGCTTTAACTTTACAAATAATTGTTTTTGCTTAGGAAAAGTTGTGTGGTACCTTATAACAGTGGGCAATTACGCTGTTTACAACCTCTAAGGAGAACAGCAAAGCAAACCTGCTTAGGCAGGCTGACTTGCTGGGGAATTTGCAGTGTACTGTGCAGCCCGGAAAAAAAGCCAGTCAGGAGTGAGAGAGATGCAAGTGTCCACTTCCAAGAGTTGGTACCTAGAGGCTATGTGGCTTAGTGGATAGGGCACTGGACAGGGGGTCAGGGTTCTGTTCCTAGCTCTGTCCTGCAGTGTAACCTTTGGCAAGTCACTTCACCTCTCTGTGCCTCTATTTTTTCTTGTCTGTGTTTTCTATTTAGACAGTAAATTCTTTGGGGGCAGGGACTGTCTCTTATGATGTATTTATACAGTGCCTAGCATTGTGGAACCCTCATTTTCAATGGGCTTATCTAAGTGCTACAGTAGTACAAATAACACTACTTGTTTTTTGCAGCTTAGTTCTCACAGTCCTGTTCCTCTTTAAAACAATGGACAATGAAAGAATACATACAAATATATGTGTGCACATAGGTATCCAGTAACTAGGCTGAAAACTGTAGCTGAACTAACTGTATGTATAATTACTGATTTACACTATTTTTTAAAGTTTTTTTAATTAACACTGTAATATATAACTCCAATTTTATACTTGCTACACCAACGCTTCTGATATTTGATGGTAAAAAAAGAAAATTCTCAATAGTGGCATCACAATAGTAGGATTAGCATGTTCTTAGGTGCTACCAGAATGCAAATAAATAATAATTATAACTAGGGAGGGAAGGAGAAGGCTTAGACATGAGCAGCTGCTAGAAGGAGATATGAGTCTGTTCAGCTTTTGCCTTGTCTAATAGCTGCAAAGCTGATCAATCCTCTGCTCCAAAAATTGCTAAAAAAAAAAGTCTTGGTGTACAAAGTATAATGAAATTATAACTTCTTCCATGTTAGCCTAATATTGGATGGAGTACAGTCTGAATGTCTCATAGGCAACAGGTTAATTCCTTAATTACAAGGATACTTTCCCACTTCCTTTGGAGGGAGGTGTATCAGAACACTCTCACTGAATGGAGTTTGAAATTTCAAGGGTCTACTGATTTAACAGTTAAGAATGTAATGGGATAATTAATGGATAATTTTTTGACTCGCCATTGATCAACAGGTGTGCTGAACCATATGAAAGGAAAGCCTGGGAAAGTAACCAAACTTTTAAAACCTTGGGATATTGTGCGGGGGATTATCCTAGCCCTGTTGAAGTGAATGACAAACTCAATTTGACTTGAGTCAAATAAATTGGTTAGTCTCTAAGGTGCCACAAGTACTCCTTTTCTTTTTGCGAATACAGACTAACACGGCTGTTACTCTGAAATTTGACTTCATTGCATCAAGACTTTACCCTGTGTATTTTTGCTTTCCCCAGGAACTGTGGGAATGGGCAGGAGTTAACAAAAGCAAAAGTGGTTGTGACTTGTTCATTAAGAAAAGAAAACTTTTTTGGGGAAGGAAATGAGTGGTCATTCTTAAATGGATAGACCAATTGAAGCAGCTAGCACCTGTTGAAGCTTCTCTTGTCTTTACCTGGTATTGGCTAAACTGAGTTGATAAAAGCGTGTTCTTTAACTAGATCAGAAGTGATCCACACACAGTAGTCGTGCCTATATAACTGGGGTGTTTTCTACTTATTTGCTTTCTAGAGAGATTTTTTTAAAGGGGATTTTATATGGAATTTTCGATCGATACTCCAGTCCTGCTACTATTTATAACCCTAAAGAACAGGTTATGGATTGACCTACCGTCAATCATCTTGTGTTTTCTTCTTTGTTCTGACAGCTCCCTCTGTGTGTTGCAGTGTCTGTGTGATTCTCCATGATTATTATTGCAGAGCAACTATGTGGCTGCAGGAACATATACATGGCTCTGGGCTGTGTGGAGAGATTGGTTCCATAGGGTGTTTATTTCTGAATGTGGATCCACCTCAATATCTGTACATAGTGCAGGAACAGGTTCTGGGGCTGGAACATATGTAAAGTGTCTCCAGGCAAAGCAGCTTTCATCTGCTCTGCTAAGAGATAGGTATTTTTATTATCCATCTTCTGGGGCTCTTATTCCTGGTTCTGATGTGGACTCACTTTGCGAGCTTGGGGAAGCAGCGTGTACTTCTAGTGCCCCAGCTGTGAAATGGGGTTTATGAGGAGATATAGGGATGGATTCTGATCTCACACCATTTTATATCAGTGCAATTCTATTGATTTCAACAGAGATTATTATTATTTACACTGAAGTAGCAACTTGAGGCTGAGACCCCTGGTGCTAGGCACTGTGCAAACATATAACAAAAAGACAATCCTTGCCCGGAAGAGTTTAGAACAAGAGGCAATAGGCGGATATGACAAATGCAGGGGTGAGGAGGGAAGCACAAGGGAATAGTGACAGCATGAACACTGGAGTAAGCACAGGTCATAGCACGCCAGCTCTCCTAACCAGTGTCTTGTATACATCATGGCACAGGTGGGTTTAAAGGAGGATAACATACTTGGTATATGGAGTGAGATGGGAGAATGCCCAACAGTGCTTGTTGGAAAATTTGACAAATTGGCAATCACGGGCATTTTTAGTAGTGGGACAGAGTCAGGAGTCGACAGCTTGATAATATTTAAGAAATGATGGATAGGGTGGGGAGAGGCCATGAAGTACTTTAAAAGTGAAGACTAGCAGGTTGTGACTAGTGCAGTGCAGAAGGGGAGGGGAGCGGGAGGGTGTGGGAGAGGGAAGAGTGAGCATTGGGTTACAAAAAGCCAGGTGAAATAGTCAAAGCAAGGAGCCAAGAAAATGGTGACAGGTTTCAGAGTAGCAGCCGTGTTAGTCTGTATTCACAAAAAGAAAAGGAGTACTTGTGGCACCTTAGGGCCACCTTAAATTGGTTAGTCTCTAAGGTGCCACAAGTACTCCTTTTCTTTTTAAGAAAATATTGGCAGCAGCATTTTGCTGGATTTAAGTGGAGAAAGACAGGATTTGTTAAGAGAGGAGGACGTTGCAGCAGTCAAGCTATGAGATATTGAGTAGAGCTGGTCAGGAATATTCTGACTAAACGTTTTACATTGGAAAATGTAGATTCATTGAAACTGGAACTGTTTGCAGGAAAGGGTCTGTGTTGACAAATCTCCTGATTTGAAACATTTATGACGACAAGTTTCAAAATTATCAAAATGGCTCCTTTCAGCATTTTCTAAAGGGAAAAAAATATTTTTCTGCTTCAAAACAACTTTTTGTTTCAAAATTATAGTTAATTTATGCTAAAAGGGGTTAAAAATTAAAAGGTCAGCACAAAAAGTTTTGAAATAATCAAAGCAAAATATTTTGATTGAGCTAATCTGAACTTTTTCAGAGTGTGGGTCTGAGTAATGTTTAAGATTGGCTTTTCATTCCAATTTGGAACAAGAAAAAATGTCAAATACCTTGCAAACTCTCACGGGATAGGAAAACCCTTTCCCACACACTGATAATAATGAAGGCCTGAACAAGAGTGATTCCTGAGTTATATTGGGTGTGAGAACTGAATCAGGCCCACTGGAGGTGAATATCAAGATTTATTGTCTTGATTTTGCTGTAGTCAATATTTACTTTGAGTAATAATAAATCCTGGTACTCACTGAAACAAGATGTCAGTGTATGTGATTGAAGGTGAGCGAGGTAATATCTTTTGTTTCTCTACATTCACCGTAAACATCATTCAGCATGAATTCAATCCAAGTGTATAAACTGAAAGCAACACTTTTCCTTCTAAACCAGCTTTATAAAAAGGTTAATGATGCAAAAGAAAAAGCTATTACTTATGCCCTAAAAGGCAATTTTATTGAGGTTTTTCTACCTTATAGTAGAAGAACACTCTGTGGTATTTGGTTTGGACAATTTTCTCACTTAGCTAAACCTGGTGAGACTACAAGATTGGAATGAAAATCTTTTTCCTTGTGAGATTTCTAGAACTTCTGCTAGAAGCACTAGTAAAATGCTGGTAACTCCCATCAAGGGAGAAATATTAGTGAAACTTAAGATATATTAGCATTTCCCATTGCAATTCTGCTCCTGACCAGAACCCAGCAATAGAAAGGCTTGTAAAAATTGGCTATAAACAATTGAATAGAATATTTTAGAACAATAGCAAAAGTTCAGTTCAAGTTTGATTGTAGATATGGTTGAAGATTTGGGAAGCTGGGGAGGGTTCTTATTTTTTTCCACACTGGTTCACACATTCCTAGACCTTGTCTTTTCTTATGCAGAATTCTGACTCCACTGAAAATGCAATCTTTCTAATTAATGATGGGCCAAAAGTGTATGTCTATACTGGAATAAAAGACCTGTGGCACAGCTATGGCTGGCCTGGGTCAGCTGAATTGGGCGTGGGCTACAGGGCTAAAAATTGCTGTGTAGACATTCGGGCTCCAGCTGGAGGCTCTGGGACACTCCCCCCGATGGAGTTCCAGAGCTCAGGCTGCAGCCTGAGCCCAAACTTGTACACTGCAATTTTACAGATCCACAGCCCAAGCCTCAGGAGCCCGAGTTAGATGACTCAGGCCAGCCACAGGTGTTTAGTTGCGGTGTAGACGTACCCAAAGTGACCACCTGAATCCAAGACACTCAAACTTTGCGAGTGTTCAAAATTCGAACCTGGGTCCAAATTCTGAGCCCATAACTGCTGTTAAATAAACATAACATGGAACTCTGACAGGTTCTAGAAGTTCGGCTTGTTTTTCGAGAAGTGAATTCCCTGCTTAGAGCTCAGAAAGATGTGGAAAGTTGAATAATGAGGCTGGGCGGGGGCTGACAGACCAATCAAGTTCCCATGTGGAATACAGCAGAGTTGATAATAATAACAGAAATCAAATTTGGTAATTGGAGGAAGGGGGATCCTTTTGGAAGTTAGAGCCCCACTCAGACGGGTCCCAGGACTTGGGAGGCTTATTTCATTGTGATGTGAAACAATTTATTTCTGAGTTTTATATATATATATAAAAAGACCCAGAAGAATGAAACCTTGGAGAAATTACTTGACAGAAATTTTGTTTTTTCACTGCTGAATCAGTAAATTCACTCTACCTGTTTACATGGACACTTGGTGTTCGTTTACTTTCTCATGGCTCCTCTATCAGGAGAAAACTTCAGTGCACCCACAGTTGAAATGGCAACTCCCAACCCCCAACAGTCACGTGTCTGAACTGTAACCAGTTTCTCCCATTGATAACTTATCTAAGGGATTGTCTTCACTATGGAAGTAAGTCAACCTAGGTTATACATTACATGAATAATGTAGCTGGAGTTGGTGTAGCTTGAGTTGACTTACCCTGCTGTCTTCACTGTGCTGCATTGACGGGATACACTCTCCAGTCGACTTCCCTTACTCTTCTCAGAGAGCTGGAGTTCCGGGGTCAATCGTAGAGTGCTCTGCCATCGATTTAGCAGGTCTTTTCTAGACCTGCTAAATTGATCCCTGCTGCATTGATTTCAGCAGTGTCGATCTCCCCATAGTGAAGACCAGCCCTAAGAGAGGAAAGCTTACAGCTGTGGAATTCTTATCAAAGAGTGGCTTTTTGTCGGTTTTGAATAACTATTTACATTTCAATCCCATGGAACTGTACTTGAAGTCAGTATCTGGTATAGTATAGTTCTGATTTTCAGTGTATATGATGATCTTTCCATAGCTTAAACAAACCAAGCTTACCAAAATATTGAATTATTAGGAGGACTACCTAGTAAATATATCAACTGTCCTAAACCATGCTATATCCACATAAGTATGAGTTATATTGCATTTTTATTTTATATCATTTGAATAAACATTGTCAATACTGACCTAAATGCAGAGTTTTCAAAAAGATTTTTCTTCTTGGGGATAACATATGTAAGTACAAGTACATAAGCAATGGTGAAAGATGTATTAAGCTGTGTAGTATGTGTAACTCGTGCACTGGGGGGACACTTTTCCCTCATTGCAGGAAACACAAACTAACATGGAAGTCTACTAATGGAATTACTGAGAAATAATGGGATCACAATTGAAAGATGGAAGAGTATTAACCAAAGAAGCAGAACTAAAAGGAACAATGGTGAGAACATTTTAATTAAGTACTCAACCAACCAGAAGCAACAATTCCAATTGATGGATGTGAAGAAGATGAAGAAATAAATACTTCACTGCTAGAATTTTCAAAGTAGAAGCAGAGGAAACAATTAAGCAGCTAACAAAATGGCAAAACACCTGGTCAAGATAAAAATCACTGCTGAAATGCTTAAAACAATGTTTAAAAGGGAGGAGGTGATAGTAAATGAAATACATGAACTTTGTAATATAGTTTGGGAGAGAGAATTCTGCCCAGAGGAGTGGAAGAAAGGTTGATCTTTACCTTACAAAGACAGACTATAGAGAGACTGATTCAAGAAAGAAGGCTGAAGTGGTTTGGACATGTTGTACAGATGTCAAAAAATTGTATTCCTAGACAAGGCTTTGATTGGATACCACCTGGTAGAGGGCAACAGATAAATAGGAAAACTGTTGAGAAAGATATGGCTCTCATGGAAACAGGTCAAGAAACATGTCATTAGACAGACAGAGGTGCAAAGACTGGGTTGCTTCATGTGTCACAAGGTATGAGAGCATCTTATAATAATATATGAGGTCTTTGAAACTTTTACATTCATTTACAAAAGCATGGGGTATGTATTTTATAAACACACATTAAGTAAATACTAATAGTAATATTCACTTATTGCCAATACACCCAACATACAGAGATGCGGAGGTTAATCTAGTGCTTAAAGTCAGGGACAGGAAGTTAGAGCTTCCTGGGTTCTGCTATTGGCTTGCTGCTTGACCTTAAGAAAACACCTATCCATTCTGTGACTCCTTTCACTCATCTGTAAATTGGGTCTAACAATACTTACATAACTTGTCAAAGTCTTCTAAGAATAGTGTACATGTTTGTGAAACACGTTGTGGTTCTCAGATGAAAGGGGCGATATAAGTGCAGTTATTAATATATCCCATAAACCAAAAATATATAGTATAGTTGATGGAAAAGTTGTTCACCTGTCCAATTTTCTGGACTTTTCTGGCAGGAGTTTGGTTCAGTTCCAGTGCTTACTTTGTCCACACTCTTTCATTTATCCCTAGTTAAAAATACAGAGCCTGGTCCTATGGGGCTCAGCTCCCTCATCTTCCATTAAAAGTCAAGAATGCCTATTGTTTTGCAGGGTCAAGATCCTTAATGGTTCAAATTCATTTCTGATGTAAATAGAGTTCAGTGGAGTTACATCAGAAATGAATTTGAACTGTTTAGGACCAGTCTCTGTATTTATAACTATGGATAAGTGAAAGAGTTTGGACAAAATAAGAACTGGAACTGAACCATACTTCTCCCTCCGCCCAATTATTTTCAAAGTAAGAAACAATTAATGAAATTGAAAACAATATTTGTGTTTGAGAAAGTCAGATATAATGGATTTTTCTCACCTCTTGTATATTGTCTTATGAAATATAGTAAAACAGACTAGTGATGCACATTGTAAAATGATTTGCTTGAAAGCCTGCTTGTATGAGAGAGAAACATACTATCTATAGGCCATGCTTGAAGACAATCAAGAGTACTTCTGGCAGAAATACAAATCAAACTGATGGATCTATAAGCCTCTAGGATATTCTTGTTATATTGCTTAAAAACAGAGATGTGATTGTATTTTTCTTTCAAAGGTCAGTATAATTACCTGTTTCTAAGGGATGAGCATTGGCTTCAAAGACTGAATACAGAATTGGACTCTTCCCAAACTCTGGTGATATTTGGCTTCAGGTTCTGGTTTGGTCCCATTAGAAAGAATGAGAGCCACAGAATTTGGACACTGATTTAGATCCAAATCTTCCCAAAGTTCAAATGGGTTTGGATCTGGGATTCTGTTTTAGGCCTGTCCAAGTCTATTGTAATATGTGTGAAAGGTTTAGTCAGGGCAGGAGACCACTAATCCATTTTTCAGTATGCACTGCTGCTGGATTCATAGCCACTTTATTTAATCTCAATTTTATTAAATCTCTTACTAACTCAGTAAAAACAAGGCAAGATGCTGTAGTATCTTTCTTGACTTTGTGGAGTTCTAACTTCCTCCTGTACTACTTTATTAGTATGCACATTAAGATAGCAATCTGGTTTGTTATAAGGGGCCATTTTATGATAATCCTATTCATGCAGAATAATATGTGACTCTCTGAATAGTTTCATTCAAGTCAATCAAAATATTTGTGAAGGAAGGTTCTACCAATCCTGAGTGAGGAGATTAGAATCTGGCCTAAAGTAAATGGCAACAATATTCCCAGTGAAATCCAGTAGCACTACTACAAGTAGTTATGAATGCCTCTGGAGGAGATTGTAGCCGTCCCCCAACCCGTAGCCTTGGAGAGAAGCCACCCTCCCTCGCTACCACACCTCTATCAAGACTGGGATATTAGTCTCTGAGGCCCTGTCCTTCTAGGCAGGGCCAAGCGGCAAGTAGTCTGGGGCTCTGACAGCAACAACACAGTCTAGAGGCTCAAGCTCTCAGGCAGGGCAGAGTGACAGTCTAGGGCCAGTGGCCTGGCTCTGGCAGACGTCAAACAAATGCAGGCCTCTCGGCCTAAGATGAGGAGACTGCCACGCCAGGGGTGTGGTTGGCATCAGAGGTTAGGGACACCCCAGGCCCACCCTACCCCTCTGGGTCCCAGCCCAGCACCCTAACAGTGGCGGATGGTTCTGCCACCGGGTCAGCAGGGATCCGGCCAAAACACGCTGACCAGAATTCTGGCCACACAATCAGACTACTGTCTGGTGTCCCTGGGCAACTTCCTATGACCCCTTCACTACATACCTTTATCTTGTGGAGCTCCTCCATCTCCCTCAGGTAACGGCCAGCAGCAGTTCCAGCAGCTCTTTGGCATCTTTGTTGTGACAGACCTAGCAGTCCCTCTGAGTCCTCAGTGTCACAGAGGTCCTCTTTGGACTCCTGCTCCAGGAGCAGGTGGGAGGCATCTGTCTCCTTCACTGGCTCCAGCTAACTGAGTTGCAGGGCCTGGCTTGTGGATGTGGCTTCCCTGGCTCTGCCCAGCAGGGGTGCATGGAGGTTCCTCCCCATCATTCTTTGATGGAGGCCATACCCCCTCACGAGAGCCACCCATTACCAATCTTCAAAATGTTCTTCCATCTTTCTCTTTGATAGTAAAATATAATTTCTTACACATAGCTTGAATATTGGGTTCTTTTTAAACATGGGCGCGGAGCTGGACCACGTGCAGCGGCTGGTACATTCACACACAAGCTGCACCCATGCGGACGCAGTCCGCCTGACATTTGGGCAGCGTTGCGCCTGCGCTGCCTGGTACCCAGCGAGCTGCTGGCCGCGCTGCTGGGCTCACTCTTCCGGCATGCCAGGGCTTCCACATGCCCGTCTGGCTGCCTTCACCACCGACAGTACCACTCTGCATGGGCCAAGGAGCCCTACAGCCCACTCGGGCAATTGCCCTCTGTCATAAATACAAAGGGAAGAGTAAACACCTTTAAAATCCCTCCTGGTCAGAGGAAAAGCCCTTTCACCTGTAAAGGGTTAAGAAGCTAGGATAACCTCGCTGGCACCTGACCACAATGACCAATGAGGAGACAAGATACTTTCAAAGCTGGAGGAGGGGGGGGGGGGAACAAAGGGTCTGTCTCTATGATGCTTTTGCCGGGGACAGAACAGGAATGGAGTCTTAGAACTTAGTAAGTAATCTAGCTAGATATGCGTTAGATTCTGATTTCTTTAAATGGCTGAGGAAATAAGCTGTGCTGAATGGTGTGAATATTCCTGTCTTTGTGTCTTTTTGTAACTTAAGGTTTTGCCTAGAGGGATTCTCTATGTTTTGAATCTAATTACTCTGTAAGGTATTTACCATCCTGATTTTACAGAGGTGATTGTTTTTTACTTTTTCTTCTATTAAAATTCTTCTTTTCAGAAACTGAATGCTTTTTCATTGTTCTTAAGATCCAAGGGTTTGGGTCTGTGGTCACCTATGCAAATCGGTGAGGATTTTTACCAAACCTTCCCCAGGAAGTGGGATGCAAGGGTTGGCAGGATTTTGGGGGGAAAGATGTTTCCAAACAACTCTTTCCCAGAAACCCAGTTAGATGTTTGGTGGTGGCACCGAAAGTCCAAGGGCAAAGGGTAAAATAGTTTGTACCTTGGGGAAGTTTTAACCTAAGCTGGTAAAAGTAAGCTTAGGAGGTTTTCATGCAGGTCCCCACATTTGTACCCTGGAGTTCAGAGTGGGGAAGGAACCTTGACAGTGGGTGCAAAAGACCTATCTGGCTTCAACATTAAACTCGATAAGTTTATGGAGGAGATGGTATGATGGGATAACATGATTTTGGCAA